TGTAAAAATCCTCAATAAGATACTAGCAAATACAATACAGAGTGTCATCAAGATCATACACCCTGACCAAGTCAGATTTATTCCAGGGATGCAAGAATGGTTCAACATACGTAAATCAATAAATGTAATGTACTATAATAACCAAATTAAGGACAAAAACCACATGATTATTTCAATAGATGCAAAAAAGGCATTTGACAAAAACCAACACACATTCATAATTTTAAAAAAAAACTACAGAAAATTGGACTAGATGGTCTTTATCTTAAATTGACAAAGTCTATCTATGAGAAACCAACACCCAACACCATATTAAATGGTCAAAAACTGAAAACCTTCATGCTAAAATCAGGAATAATATGAGGATGTCCAATTGTCACCACTCCTGTTCGGTATAGTTCTAGAAACATTAGCCACAGAAGTTAGACAAGAGAAAGAAATAAAAAGAATAAAGATAGGAAAGGAAGAAGTAAACTGTCACTATTTGCTGATGATATGATACTCTACATAGAAGATCCAAAAACTCTGCCAAAAGACTGTTAGACTTAATTGACAGATTCAGTAGAGTAGTGGGATACAAAGTCAACACTCAAAAATCAATGGCCTCCTTGTACACAAATAACAGACCCACTGAGAGACAAACTAGGGAAATAATTCCTTTCACAATAACATCCAAATAAATGAAATATTGAGGAATCAATCTAGTGAAGGAGACAAAAGACCTGTACACTGAATACTGCAGCACTCTGAAAAAAGAGATCAAAGAGGATATAAGAAGATGGAAAGACATCCCTTGCTCCTGGGTAGGAAGAAACAGCATAGTGAAAGTGGCCATATTCCAAAACTGCTATACAGATTCAATGCAATCCCAATTGAAATCCCTACAGTATATTTCACAGAACTTGAGAAAACTATCCAAAAATTAATTTGGAACCAGAAGAGACCTAGAATAACAAAAGCCATTCTGAGCAACAGAGACATAGCAGGGGGTATCACAATCCCCAACTTGAAACTATGCTCCAAAGCCACTGTAATAAAAATGGCATGGTACTGGCAAAGAAACAGACCTGAGGAACAATGGAATAGATTAAAAGATGCAGAAATAACACCAAGTCATACTCAGTTACCTCATCCTTGACAGAGGAGCCCACCATCCACAGCAAGAAAAGATAGCCTCTTTAATAAATGGTGTTGGAAAAACTGGCTTTCAAGTTGCCAAAGATTATAACTAGATCCCTATATTTTACCGTGCACAAAACTAAAATCCAAGAGGATTAAAGATCAAAAAAGAAACACTAAACTTAGTGGAAAGTAAATTAGGTAGAAATCTCAAAGACATTGGCATTGGAGAAGACTTTATGAACAAATCCTCAGCTGCACAAGAACTTGCACAAAGAATAAACAACTGGGATCTCATTGTATTAAGTTTTTGCAGTGCAAGAGAAATCACCAATAGGGCTAAGAGACAACCTTCAATGTGGGAAAAAAATTTTACCAGCTACTCCACAGACAAAGGTCTACTATCTAGAATATACAAAGAACTCAAAAAAATCAGACCCCCAAAATACAAAGACCCAATTCTAAAATGAACAGACATTTCTCAGAAAAAGAAAAAAAAAGCAACAAAGAAATATATGAAAAAATGTTCACCATCACTGGTCATTTGAGAGACACAGATGAAAACAACTCTGAGATTCTGCTTTACCCCAGAAAGAATGGCTGCTATCAAGAAATCAACCAATAACAAATGCTGGTGGGGCTCTGGGGAAAAAGGAACCCTTCTCCATTGTTGGTGGGAGTGCAGACCGGTGCAACAACTGTGGAAATCAATATGGAGATACCTCAAAGAACTAGGATTAGAAGTTCCATTTGACCCAGCTATCCCTCTGCTAGGTATTTTTTCAAAACAAAAGAATCATACCACAGCAATATATGTGCACCCATGTTTATAGTGGCATGGTTTGCAATGGCTAAAACTTGGAAAGAACCAAATGTTCATCAACTGGAGACTGGACAAAGAAGATGTGTTTTTTCTATAAAATGGAGTACTACTCAACCATAAAGAATGAGACACTAGAAACGTTTATAGTGAAATGGATGCTCATTGAGGCTATACTGTTAAGTGACATTAAATAGAACACAGGTGTAAATACTGAATAGTTTCTCTGGTATGAAAAACTGAAAGTGTAAATAAGGTTCAAATGGTATATTGAGAGCAGGAAATAGGAAGAAAATGGCTAAAGGGGAAGTGGGAAGGGGAGGGAAAAGGAAATAAGGAAAAGCAAAAAAACATGAGAAAAGGAAAAATGAACACAGGGTCTTTGTAAATAGGAAATGGTGAATGGGGTGAAGGGGGGACAGGGGTATGGGGAAAAAACAAGAACCAAGATTGATTATATAAAGGTACAAATTTCCAACAATGATTTCAGCTAATGATTTAAAATTATCCTTGGAAAGTTGCATCCATCCCCATAAGAGTGGACTCCATAATTGCAAAGTGGGAAAGGAACTCTGGATATTGCCTGAATATAGCCTAGGAAACTCCCTGGACTAGAGATGAGTAGAAAGTCATCTTCAGATCTCTCAGATCTCAAAATTACAAAGAAATGGCTGCACAGATTAAAGTAAAAAATACAGCTGCCATGCTAGAATTTCCTGTTAAAGAATTACTTTTATTACACATGATCCTAGCAAAAGGAAATGCTGATAACTAAACCCTAATTGAAACCGTTTTGTTTTGATTAGGTACAGGCTCTTCATTTTACCCAGGAAAGAGAAAGAGATTACTTAGCAGAAGTATTTGCTACTCCCCTTTTACCACCACTACAAAGGCAAAGAGCTGGAAAAAATGTTAACAGCCACACATTAGCAGAGTAGATCTCTGCCATTTTACCTAATATGATTAATGAAATTGATGGTATGCCTGTTTAAAAAAAATAGGATCTAGCCAACTATCGTGCCAATTTGTGACATTTCTTTGTTGTTTTCTTTTTCTTTTTAGATTCTTGTAGTAGCTCCTTTTTAAAAATAAGCATTGAAGAAAAATAAACCAAGTATTTAAATTGAAAAATACAATTATATGAATTTATGGTATACAAAATGTTTGGAGATATGAAAACATCGTGGAATGGTTAAATAAAACTACTCTAGAATTAGTATGCATATTTTCCCACATGCTTATCATTTTTTTGTAGCAAGAACACTAAAACTCTAGCCAATTAGCAATTTTCAAGTGTATATTGCATTGTTTTTAAATATAGTCACACTGTTTCTCACAACAGATGGAAATATAGCCCCTCCTTTCTGTCTCTAAAGCATGAAATCCACCATTAAATGTTTCTCCTCTGCCCTGTCCTCACTGACATTACCTCTTATTCATCCTCTTATTAAAGGCTTACATATTGCAGCACTGTACTACAGGCTTGTGATACACAGAAAAGATAAGATCCAATGAATAAGAATGAAACACTATGGGGCCGGGGATTTAGCTCAGCGGTTCAGTGGCCTGCCTTGCAAGCGCAAGGACCCAAGTTCAATCCCCAGTACCAAAAAAACAAAACAACAACAACAAAAAAAACCAAGAATGAAACACTATGGTCACTGGCTGGCAAGCACACAGGGTGGTTGATGTGAAGGACTTTGTGGGCCTCATCCACACCTCTTTCTGTCCTGGCACAGGTCACCTCTTACTTCAACCACTGGCAAACCTCCAGCCACATGGCCCTTCAGACCCTGCCCTGTTGCCTGAGCTTTATTTCCAAATCAAGATGTCATCTCCCCTATTAAACCCTTCCATTGTTCCCTATTGTGGAAGGCAGGGCAAGCTCCGTTCTTCTTGATTATACATGTAAAATCTTAAAACTCAACTTGCCTTTCTTGCTTTTTCCCAATAGCATTCTTTTACAGCATAGTTACTATTCTCACAGTCCATGAAATAGGAAAGAACAGAAATGAAAATATCCACTCTGCCTTAGAAATTTACCATCAGTATCATTTTCAACCACTCTCTTTCCCTCTTGGCAATCAATTCAATGGATCATTTTCCTAATGATTGCTGTTCACACTTTGCATAACTATTTCAAATATCAAGGCACTGAATGGTTTTGATGAACACAGATAATCAGTCTATGATTATTTACCATCCTGATGTATTCACAGAGGCTCAGTGCAGGTACACAGCATAGAGTAACCACGCAGCAGGTCACAAGAAACAAGTCCTGCTCTTATGGACATTTATTCTTTCCTTCTAGATGAAAGTGATCTCAGGAGTAAATGAGAGCCAGGTGCCAACCACTCCTTCCGCCACTGCAACAATATTCATTTATTTATTCCCTGAGTCATTCAAGCATCAAACAGTTATTGAGTGCCAACCAATATCACCTGTTGCAAAGATAGACTCTTTCACCAGGGACCTCACAGTCCCTTTCTATGATAAATTTGTGATTTGATCCAAATGGTGGGATCATATAGGAATGAGCCAGATCACTGCTGAGGATGTCAAGGGATTGAGAAGAGATCAGTTGAGAGGTTCTTAGAAACAAATAAATGGGTCTTTTGTAGCAAGAAGTGTGTGTATTTAGGCAATTGAGAGTATTAGCGGATGGATGACAAAAATTGCTGCCTTATTAAATGGAATCAAAATGCACAAAGTAATCAAGAAACTATGCAGCATGTTTGTAAAATTATGGCAGATTCAGTGTGGCTTGAGGGAAGCAGCAAAGGGTGGGGAAGGGGTGAAGACACAGAAGTTTCTGAGAGGTAAGCAGGGAATAGATTATATAGGACACATACCACGGAGCTCACATCTTCTCCAAATTACTGGGGATCCAAGAGAAATCACTCAGCAGGGGAATGACATGATCAGATAATTTTTGAATAAAGATCTATTGTTGGTATAAAGGATGGATTTTAGAAGATCAGTATTTCCTGAATGCTTTTCAGGAAAGGAAAATTCCATGGCTGTGTCCCAGCTAATGCCTCATCTTTGTATGTCTTCCTAGTGACAGTGCTGGCCATTTTCCACGAATTGCACGTCGACCCTGACCTGTATACGCTCTTGTTTGGGGAGAGTGTGTTCAATGATGCAGTGGCCATCGTCCTCACATAGTAAGTACCACAGCTTGGCCTGTCTTTCTTTAACCACATGAAATATGATGCCACTTGGAAGTAATTCCTGGTGTATTTAATGAAATCTTTTCTCTATGTCTTAGTGATCGGTAATTTCTAGCTTTTAAGGAATTCTTATCACAGAAAATCTCCAATAATGGGCACAATTCATTAGACACTTAACTTCTAGTACTATTAATGGATTTCACATTTCTAGCTTATTACAAGGTACTACCCAGAAGGTAACAGAATTTTTTTTCTCAGTGCATATATTTGACTGATTCACTTAGGGCTCATAAATGCACATAAATGAGCTTCCTTCATTTCAGATCAATATCATTTAATTTTTTTTCCTCAGGCATGTCACTTTCCAGATAAAAAACTAACAGAAGCCCTTGTATTTATGGTGAATTCGGCAGGTTGGAGTTGCAACTTGAGGGTCAGCATACTTTGTATTTCTCATTGTAAATGTAGTGCTTTATAGGAATGCACACATATTTAAATAATCATATGACAAATGAAACTGATGGAATTTCAACTCAGAGCTAATGTAATTTCCTTTTGTGCAGGGAGGATTTTCTCTTTGAGATGAGAACCTGTGCTCTTTCCTCACCTCTTTTTTAGACACTTACCATTTATATTTAATAAATGCCACTTTGGTAGTTTTTACTATGTCAAAGGTCTTTTTTTGGTTTTAGATTAAGACCAACATTTTGGGCAACTGTCAGACATCCCAGAGGAAAATAGCTATCCAATAATTATATGTGACAACAGGACCATATCTCTGGTGTTAATTACTTCAAATGCAGTTGAAAATGTATAGTGAAGCAACAGGGATATTTAAAAATCAGGTCTCATAGAAATGACAGCACTATTCTCTTTTTTTTTTTGCCCACTGACATTTCTTACACCTGCCACCCCAAAGTTGCACCTCTAAAAGTTCTTTAATAGGCTACGAAGGAAGATAGAGGTACAGTGAAGAGATATGGAGGGGTATATGTTTTTCAATCCTCATGAAGACATTAATTGCAGAGGCAACATGGCATAGTAGAAAAAGACTAGATTAAAGTTCAAAAGATCCAAAGGCTGGGAATATAGCTCAGCAGTGCAGCATCTGCCTGGCAAAAGATCTGGTGTCACGATTCCCACCAATTAACTGCAATTATTACTGTACACAAGAAAGCAACTTAAACTGAGGTGAACAAAAAAAGAGTCCATGTTAGCTGATTTAAATGAGCAGTATGAGTGGAAATGCCACAAAACACCCCAATGACCTGAGCAGCACTCACTCATCACTCATTTCTGTTTTCTTTTTTCCTTTCCTTTTTTTTTTTTTTTTTGGTACCAGGGATCGAACTTGGGTCCTTGCACTTTCAAGGCAGGTGGTGGGGAACCACTAAATCCCCAGCCCACTCACTCATTTCTTCATGATGAGTTCCCTCTTCTGCTCATACGATAGCTGCCAGCATCTTGCAGGGATGTCTTGTAAAAAAAGAATCTTAGTGCTACCATTCTCATCCTAAATCTTGGCACACCTTATAGATTCTGAATCAGTTCCTAACTTGCTTGGAACCAATCACTGTGGCCAGGGAAATGTACTACATGTATTGGCTCAGGTCTAAATCACACCCTTATTGACACCAAGGGTCTGATTAGCTTCTCTTGGAAGCAAATGAGCTGAGGTTGGGGGATGGCAGAATTATTGCTCAGTTAATATTGCTGAGATAAAAGAAGAAGTTGATAATGGATATAAGCATAACACCACAAAGCCTAGGTGACCAGGGTAGTGATTTTGTATAACCATAACCTGTTTGTGCTTGTTTCCTTATTTAAAATTTAAGAAGAGTTGTTAATTTTTAGCTGTTTTATACACACTACAGATTATTCTGAGCAATAAAGCAAAGATGATTGGGAAGGCTTATATCTCTATAATGTATGTAGTCTATTTACAAGTATTTGAGAGTAATGTATCATCATTTATATCAGTATCTTTCTTTCTACTTAGATCTCTCTGCTGTCATTACAATGATTAAAAATAGACCTACTTCTAGTGAAACATTCCTTCATAAATATGGCATTTTATGATTCAGAGAATGTAGAGAATAACCATTTTACATGTGATTTCTTCCATTAGAAATAAATCACTAGTTAAGACATACTGACTAAAGTTGATAAATCCAGAAATAGAGGTTGAAGTGTATTATTTATAAAGTACTTGCAACAAAAATTGATATTATTCCAGTTAAGTAATGGCAGAAAAAGAGAAAGGAAAGCATAAGCTAGGTAAAGTTCCACATCTCTCATAGTAAATTGTACTCTATAGAGTGGCTAAATAAAAAAAATGAAAGTGCATATTATTCAGAGTTGTAGGATAACCATCAGAAGAAAAAAAATCAATGGCTAAAAACTCATACCTTTGCTATTATATAAGGCTATGGTTCAAACAAAGGGGACAAGATCATTTAACTCCATATTTTATGTAATTCTATACTGTCTGCATGCTTTTGATGTATTTACATTATATTTATTTAATATTTTGATTCAGATGATAGAGATATCAAAAATAGAAAGTATAAAAGAAATGCCAGTTTATTTAATTCAGTCAAGCCATTCTAGTGGGCAAAAATCACTGCAGAAAATTAAAGGACAAATGATAAACCTAGGAAAGCATTTTCAACACAAAGGTTGATAGGTTGTCTTTATAATATACATAAAGAACTGGTAATCTCAATATATCAAATTCCCTAAGCTTGAGTAAGTTACTTAAATTATTTGTGCTTGCAGCTGCCTCATTTGTAAAATAAGGATGGTAATAGCACTTACCTCATTGAACAGGATTAAACATAAAATATCTAGACCTAGTCCAAGTTTGTAACTTAATACATTGCTAAATGTTAATAACTTCTGTTACTCCTATTATCAAAGACTGCTAATAAAAGAAAAACATAATAGAAAAATGAGCAAAGGATTTAAGTATACAATGAAAAAAGAAGAAAATAGCCAATAACTGTATTAAATAAAATTAATTTTATAATGATGAAAGAAAAAATCAAGTGAACTCCAAGTATCACTTTTTTTATTTAGAAAATCTTTAAAACTTCAGAACCCATAATATATAATCATACTTGGAGTAAGTGAGAATATGGGAATTGAGAACCTACCTATGTTAGCGGTGAAAGGAAAGTGCTAAAACTTTTATAGAGAGCATTTAGAAGTATTTATTATGAGGCCTTAGACTTTAAGAACCATTTGATCCAGCAATTTCATTTTTTAAACTTTTGTTTAGGAAGTAATTAAAAGCATGTGCAACAATTTCTCCAAGAAAATGAGTGCAATGATTAGAGCAGGAAGTTGTACATGATAGTTCCAGTCAGTTGAACAAATTACAATATATAGATGTTATGGAATTTTATGCCATCATTTAAAAATGATATGGAATAAAATGTATGGATGTAAAAAGATATCTACAGTACATTAAAAGTAAATAAGAAATTTAATATATGCTATTTATTTTTAATAAATAGTAATATTTATGTTTAATAAATCTAAATAGGAAATTTTTGTATATAATAAGACCTAGTTTGATTTAGAATCACAGCCAAATATATGTGGGTATAATTATAATGGGTGTGTTTCCAATTAATATAATTGTTTATGTATATTATGTGTATTTATTATAAATAATTATACATTTTATTTTATCCATGTTATAGATAGAATTATAAAATATAATAATTTGGGTTATCTATGTAAATTGCATATGTAACAATGTACACTCATTATGTAAAGTATAATTTATATGTATATACATTCAAAATATTACATAGAACCACGGGTGATTTTTTTTTTTTTTGGCTTACATTTTTTTTTAATAGAATAAAAGGGCTGGAGATTTAGCTCAGTGGTTCTGCAGCCTGCCTTGCAAGCACAAGGTTCTGAGTTCGATCCCCAGTAGCAAAAAAAAAAAAAAGAAAAGAAAATAGAATAAACTACTTATGACCAACACTAGCACAAAGAATCCTCATTAACATAGTTAAGAACTGGCAATTTTAAAATGAAGATTCCACAGAAATAAAGTCTGAATTTTTTTCCTACCTGTGAGAAAACAAAAAGAGGATGTTGAGGGTTTTTTTGGGCCATTTATCTGCAAAACAGAAACACTGCCATTATTTTAATGAAACATCTACTTGTCAATTCCACAGTGTGCAAATGCCTCCAGATTTTCTTAGATATGAGAACATTATGCTGCTTAGAAGTTCTTACTAAAAAGTGTCATTTGATGTGTTATGCCAGTGAAGCTTGGCACTTAGAGTGAGTGATATTTGAAAGACCGTATTTCTTATAGCTCATATATCTTAGGGGAACTTTAACATGAAAGTTAATGGGATGGCTATGAGACTCAACCACAGCACTAAGAAGAAGCATGAGGTATTATCCAGCTGTTCAACAGAAACGTATTGAGCACAGGTATAGTCCAGACACTGTGGAATTTCGGTAATACAGATTGCAAGGGCACGGTCATCCATCCTGTCCTCAGTACCTCCTCACTGAGATAAGCGAACAACAGCTAAACAGGATTTAATAAACATAACAAAATCCGGTTCTAAAAATTATCTCAAAAATAGCTCTGTAGGATTTGACATAAAAATATTTCTCTATGGATATTCTATTCTCCCTTTAATATCATCTGTGAGATGACTGCAAGCTCCTTGAAGGCAAGTTACACTTTTCTCCACTCCCACAATGCACAGATCATTATTTGGTAGGTTATCCAATAATTACTGAATTGAGTCAATTAATCTATCTCTTCAGATGCAGATGGAAACATTTTACTAATGCTCTCATTAAAACCTATTCCAGAGGATGGATCTTCATCAGGTTTTGTCCAACTATTTAAAAGGCCTTATTAGTCACTCTCATTAATTCACATCTCCTCCCATTTGACCTCTCATCATAAACACCAAGGTTGTAAAGTGTCCCCTTTGATGAAAAAAACCTGA